TTGATCTTTTGCATGTGGTATGGGTTTAAACCCCATCGATGGCTAATCTAACATCTAGTCTAACAAAATCTATCGTTTGACAAAAAAAAAAAAAACCTTCAATATTTTTGCTATTATTTGTTTGTCAATATAAAGAGTCATAGTTCTACAGTAATGAACAAATCTATATATACGACAGTTTTGTACATATTACAAGCTAAAGCTTTGTATACTGACTCCGGCCACCGAGTTCTCTCTCGCATAGTAACTGGGGAGAAAACACATACACGAATGTATATATTGGCAAAGTTTTCTGTTTTATAATACGTAGAATATAATCTACATTAAAAAGGTAAAAATATAGACAAAATTTTACAATAAACTAATAATAATAATTTATTTCAAATTAAACATGAAACCTAAAATTCTTATTCACAAGTGAAAAAAAAAATATTACTTGAATATAATATCATAATATCAAGTGACGTTTTCATGTTTCTTGACAAACTTAATTTAGATAATTAGAAAAGAAAATAATTTTCCTCTTGGATCATGACTCCCTAATGCCCGTACAGTGGAAAAGTCCAATACCACAGCTAGTAGAAATTTTTTATGTAAGTGATTAGAAATTTTATTTTTTAAATTATTAACCTTTTAACATATATATTTTACTATTTGTATAATGACACGTGATGTACCACCTCATGTGCCGGTCATACTGAAAAATCTTTGCATTAGTAAGAAAGAAAAGAAGAGAGAGTACGTGGGACCCAAGTCGGAATTTTGACTAATAAGGGCCCACCCGAGTGCCAATAACTTTGTGCTGGGGACGCGACAACAATCTCGTACGGTTCACGGTCATCGAGGAAATTGAAAAGGGAAGGGACGAGATCGTGCCACGTTATGTGTTCGGGGTGTGATTTGCGGTGGGGATCTAGGGTTTAGAACGAGGCGAAAAGCAAAGGAGCATAAGCCGACATAAGAGACAGGTGCGCACGTGAGAGTGCACGGTTGGGCTGTCCTGATTGGGTCCCCTGCTTTCCGTCGAGTTTGATCGTCTATTCACAATTGACCGTAGAACGCGGGATTCTCGTACTCGATGAGGCACTTGCGTATACGTATTTGATCGCCATTTTTTTGGACGAAAGATCATTTCCTAAAAGCCCAAAACAGGCACAACAAATACAAGTGTTTTAGATCATTTCATATTTGATCATTGTACTTGCTGCATGTTTTTGACAAGTTGTTCCATTTTACGCATGATTGATTGGTCTAACGACAATAATTTCTGTTTTCGTTAGAGTAAGTTTTAAATTTTACTCACATGAATACAAGTATAAAAGTGTCACTTGATTAGTGGATTAATAGTGTTTTTAGAAGAGGGGTTAGAGAATCTGTTATGAGTGGTTGTATTATGTAATAGATCGATTTGATTAATCTCTCTATTACGCTGTATATAATACAATCCAGTTCATTTATTTAAGGGAACTTTAACGAAAAACATCCGGTACTGTTCACTTTAACGAAAAACCACATTTTTACACTAAAAAGTCAATCCTGGTACTATTCACTTTACCCTTTATTTTGTCCTTATCATTAAAACTCAAAGTTTTCAAGCCCCTTTCATTAGTTTTCCTTTTATTTAACAACAAAAACGACATATTTGTATTAAGTTTGATGCTACACTGTAGTGTATTGTAGCTGGATCGATTAACAACTCATTGTAGAAATATTTTTGTAAATGCCCTATCTTTTGTATATAAAAAGGATGCCAATAATTGATTTTATAGAGATATATCATATATTGAGTTATATAAGATGTGAAACATGAGGAACCAAAAAAATTGATCATTCAAATGAATAATTACTTCTTGATAAATTACATGCGTATCAATTGGATATCCATGTGGCAGTCGACAACAATTCATAATTCTGATTTTAAAAATTGAAAGAAGTCTTAAGTTTGAATTATTGCTCAATCATTAATACAAAAAAAAAGACACTAATAATCCTCCAAACTCGTATGTGGTTTAATATTTTAGTTGATAGAATGTTCGATTTCTACCTATGAGTCCAAGGTTTGAAACCGCACCCTCTCCTAATTTATTGTAATGGTTTCGAATTCTCCCTTTCTCTCCCTAATAATAGTAAAATTGTAAAAATACAAAAGAATCGTCCAAACTCGAAGAATGTAAGCAAGGGCAGGTATCCATTCACATGAAAGAATTTGAAAGGGAGAGATCCAGAGTTTAATTTCTGCTATAATTTTGTTAAGTAGTATACTATATACTGTAGATAGGATAACATGTGTAGAGATGGAAATTCAAACCGTTAACTCGATAACCGTGGATAACTGTCTGAATGGAGCGGATTTGGGTATGAAAATTTGGGTATATTATGGATATGAGGAAAAACCGTGAACTTTAATCTTTTATGGTTTTGGATATGATTATAAGAGTCTCAATCCGTGCCTATCTCCGAATTCGAATCAAATAATATATAATATATAATATATCATTTATGTAATATATTGTATTTGAGTGGAACTATACAGCCATTACTATATTCATTATTCACCGCATAATATATTTAATATATAATATAATAATATTTCGCTCAAAAAATATAATAGTATTCAATGAACTCTATATTATATTCCTTATCCATCAAACATAATGTTTATGGAATATATCAATAGATCACATCATCAATGTTTTATTTTATTCAATGCTCTTATTTTTATACTCTACAAAATTCATGGATTATTATTATTTTATTATTATTAGACGTGGCTATTTATGACGAATTTAGTATTCACTAAATTATTGTGCGTCAATTGGATGAATATAATTTTTTTATTTTTTATAAAGATGGATATAACTGTTAACCGATAGGAAATCCGTTACCCGGTAGGTATGGTTATGGATAATTCCTAATGATTATTTTACAGTTATAGATATAGTTAATTTTCATGATTATGAGGATGGATATAACATTTCCGTTCTCAAATTGAATCGTTGCCATCCCTACATGTGTAGGGGTGCATGGTGTTAAGTAGTTTGAGTGGTTTGCAGGCTTAAATCATGCAATGGGAGGCTGAAGGGTGTTTGAACATGGTGTGGAATGGCTAGTTGTACTGCCTAGTCCTTAAATTGAACTTTTTTACTTTTCTGGACTGAGTTTGCAATGGTTATGTCGATCACAGATTCACAGTCTTAAATCATGCAAGGCACATCAAGTTATGGGGAAGGTAAATTTTTGGCAGCCTTAGCTTTCTGCCAGTGTTTTGGCCTCTATTGCCGGATTTGTTCTGCTGGCATGTATCTGCCCAATGGCACACTTCTCTACTACTTCACAGTAAGTAACATTACTTCAACTCAAAACACAGATTACATAAAGTTTGCCGTTCATTAGGTCACTGATTAAACGATTGTACAAGTCAACAGTACAGTCAACAAGTTTGCTGGTGTTTGGATAACGTTGTTAGACTCTCTGTTAAAAACAGAGCTGCGTAATTGTTTTTTTATACAAGTCTTATTTCTCTCTAATTCATCTTTCTCACTTCTTTATCATTCTTTGATTTTTCGCAATCATTCTCAATTCTTCACTGTTCTTTGATTTTTCTCAATGTAGTTAATATGGTATCAAGGTCACTAAGCTCACATCAAAGATTTTGATGTTAATAAATCTGATTACATTGCTTATTACCTCGTCTAGAAGTAATTGTATCCGTCCACCTGGTTGAATCAAGTGTCAAGTCATAAATTTACAGATGACATATATTTATGATAAGTTTAATACCTAATTATGGCTAATCAAATTAAATGTTTGTTGTGGATGCATTGACCCGCGGTGAAATATCGTGTATATTAAGAATAAAATTCTGCAGTACTACGTCTTTCTCAATAAATTTACTTTATTTGATATATATTTTTATAGTTAAAAAATAAATTTTCACACTTTTTTTTTCATGCACAATTTTGTTTATTTCTGATCTTTAAGTCAAGGATAATCAAGATATAAAAATAAAAATGTGCATAAAGAGAAAAAGATAGAAATAATTTCCCTTTTAGGTAGCCATTAGTACAACCACATTTCATTGCAAATGATATAGGCTAATTTGTTTTGTTCAACTCAATATTAGTAAATGATACAACATTCTTAGTTTCTCTTCAACAGTATGTAGTACCGTCATAAACTTCAAGCACCACACCACTATAATCTATATAGAGATACTCTCTCCTAACATAAATTATTGGTGGACACACAACCGCTTCACTAATTTTGGGCAATTATTTCATCCAACGAGTGACATATTTGGTCGTCATTGACTATAACATCAATAATCTCCATTCGTTGAGAAAGATCCTTTAGGATACTGTCTTCACAACCTTTGAAAATCTGTCCATCTAGAAGTTCTTGTCGGATGACTTTCCATAAATGACATGTTGATGATAATGATAACGGTGTTGAGAATGAAACTTACATTAAAAATTAAATCGATTGTGTTTATACAAGTTTTGTGATTGAATTATATGGAAGGCTTGAAAGCAGTTCTGAAAAAAAGATAGAAAAAAAAAATGAATTCCAATGAGAAAACAAATATATAATTAAGCGTTACATGACACATTATCTAATATATTTAAGCAGAGAATATAATAATTTTGGTATACTTTTACGGTCTAAAGTTTTTATTGTCACAATCACATAAGATCACCTGTTCATAAAAGTAACTTACTTAACTGTTGAATTCAGTCCAGTAAGAGAACGTTTGTTATATAAACGTATACATACTAACCTAGCTAATAGCTCAAGTTCTCAAGTTGAATGCCGAATCACTTGTAATCATGTATGACCTCAAAAGAAAGGGGAGAGTTATCTTCCCTCCTATTCTCATCATCTTCTCTCTCATCCTCTCATATATTGTTTTTTGTCTTATTGTCTCTATAAAAAAATTAATATAACATATTGACGTAGCTAAACCGTAACCGTTCAAATAGGAGAAAAGGGAAGGGGAGAGAGATTAGAAGAGGAGGATTCGTATGAGTTCAGTAGTATTCATACATGGCAAGCTGATCAGACAAATCCAACTATTATCCCGATTAATACGAGGTCGATCTTATTTAAGTGGCGTTTCACCACCTGATGTGTTTTGATTTAGAAGCAGGCATCTTCTGATGCGTTGAGTTGTTGGAATTGTTAGAGTTGGTTTAGCAGTTTATTAGTGGTCTATAAATAGCCTCTGTGCCATCTGTTGTATTTTGGTTAACATCAATACAGAAATGCTCCATCTTCTTTCATGTCTCTTGTTTCTGCTTACTGTTATGAGATCTAAACGCCTTGAGTCCTAATGCGGCCGAAAGAAGGCAAAAAGGATAACCGGATAAGTACGTATTACTGAAAAAGGAAAGGACTCCTAGCAATACTAATAGAAAAGTTTCCCCCCCCCCCCAACACCAGATATTTCTAAAAGCTAAATAATATATATATATGAATTATTGAAATTGAAAGACAAATAAACATATGCACTTAGTTTATGATTTGATGGGACTAAAAATGACGGAGACAGACCCTTTTTAGTTAAACAAAAATAGTTAATTATTTGCCAATGGTGGATTTCACTGATGATTAGAGTCTTTTTCTTCAACTGACTGTGTACCGAGCTTAAATTTTTCTATCTCCTCTTTAGTATAAATTAGTGTAAAAGATAATTTTTATTAAAAAAAATAGATAATTATTTATGCATGTAACCTTTGCGTTTATTGGCAACATGCAAGGATGTTTAAGTTTAGAAAACCATCAATTCTCCAACTTAAATGAACAAATACATCGAGCACAAACTATAATCTCTTTCGATAATTAAGATTTGACTGGAATTAATATCTCATAAAATTTACAGTAGGCTGATTTTTCATTTTGTGAGGATTAGACATGAAATTTTTTTATCTTACTCCTAGCTACCATTTTGAAATGATCGAAATGGATAAATTTCTCAAATGAGAAATCCATCTTTACCTACAAGTTGGACATTTTTTTTCATCTTCTTTCAACATAACTTGAATAGCATCATACCATCCAATCCAGTCCTAGATAACAAACGAGCCCTATATAGATTAACAAGCAAGTTCAAATATGATGAAGTATGAAATGAACAGAAATGAAAAACATGAAGATGCATATATAAAATTAAGAGATCATATCTATATGAATAAAGAAGGAGCTCTTCTCTTTTCACTGAATTGTTTGGCAAAATACGGATGACCTTCCTCAATATTTATATGTTCATCAAGAATACTTTCATATCAAATTAGCTACTATGACTTCTGTAACGAAAATAATAACTCATTTGACGCTGAAGAAGAATTCTATGCTTAATTATTTCACATAAACTAGAAATTCAGAAGGAAAATGAAAACAATATAGGAATGCATGTTAAATAAAATACTAAAATTCTTAGCAAACTACATACTTTTTTGAATTCTGCTTTGATCTTTCAGTAGGTAGTAAGAACACACTACACTAAAATACATCCTATATATTCACATAAACTTCTATAAGAACTTTCCATTTTTTTGCGCTCGACTTTTAATTCTGTGTGTAAGAAATTCAAGAGTGTGTGAGCAATCGAGGAAAATGAATCGCAATATAAAAAGGGATTTGTAATAGAGGCTGGATTTTTGCAACCAAAACCAAGGTGATCAAATGACAACAAGCTGAGAATTCAGATTCAATTTTAATCAAAAAGTTAACTTGTCAAGTAACAGGTCAAGACAGAATTAGACTAAGAGCTTTGATTCTATGTCAGATAACTATTGGACTCTAAAAACTTAAGACGTTTAGCAATGAGTTAACAATATACACACATATATACATATATTTGGTTTTTTAGCCAAAATGATCATCCCTGAGATTGGCATAACTCTCACTTTAGTCCTCAACATTAAAAATCGATAGAAATGATCCATGAGTTTGTCAACCGTCAATCATTTTGGTTCTTCTGTAAAAAAAATCTCCGTTAAATGGAAAAACAAGTGCAAGGGTCGATTGAACAAAAATACCCTCAATTTAAAGGAGATTTTTCAAGAAATGACTAAAATGATTGATGATAGACAAACTCATGGACCACTTCCATCGATTTTCAATCTCAATGATAAAAGTAAAGAGTTATACCAATATCAGAAAATATATTAGCTGAAAAGCCTTTATATTTTAAGCTTATAAGATCAGCAACATGTATAAAACCGATGTAATGAATGATTGTAAATTAGAAAATAATTTCCAGGTGCATCCATAAAGTAGTTGATCTTGTCAAAATTAATAATATCTATATATATGATGACGCCATAAAGTTCATGCTTTTAAGTTTTAATCAGTTTTCCCTTATTTTACTAATGATGGAGTCTCTTCATGGAATCTAAAACACACCATAGATAACCGAAATCATTAGCAGAATGAATCGATCCGCTGAGAGGTAAAGTGGCTTTACATGCCCCACTACTTCACTGAAAGGAAAAGAGACGGTTTTTTCTAGCACCTATATTACGTATCATTTGTTAACTAATTCTAGAGCTTATTTCTTCTCCTAAATAATGATCAACAACATCTTAATTATCACAAAATGCAGACATTTGTTTAGTTAAGTTGACTAATGTAGGGTATTTCTTTCTCTTCTACACACAACTCGGAATCATCTTTTACATAGTTTTCAACTTTTCATTCACACCTGATAAATGTTTCTACCGTTTGATAGAAAATAAATTCTTAATTAATCTAAATACTTATTAATAACAGAATCCTATAGGAATATTGACACAACATCATCCAATCACTGACTAGGTGTCGGCCTGATTGAAAAATTAAACAAGATTTTCCTCAATTTCTTATTAGCTAATTTGCACTTTTAACTATAAAATACTATGGCAGACATGTTTCCCTAACAAACTATAGCATCAAAATATGAAAAAGTATTGGATGCGAAGATTTGCCACAAAAATAAACTAAATGCTTTTTTAGTTAATTAACCATGTTTCACCAAATTATAAATCTCACTAGATTCCACAATATTCACATCTTTTTTTGCTGCAGACTCTTTTGCAGTATTCCACTATATTTCCTGTTTAGTTCAGCAACATCTGACTATCTGAGACTGATTTGACAAATAAGGAAAGTCAGCATATGAAATTTTACAAGCAATAATATATATTATTTTATATTCCTCACTAAAGGGGATCACTATTTAATTAGTACTACAATTTAATAGTACTTTTTTATTATTAATAAGTGAAAGATTTTAAGTTTAATTTTATTTAAAAACAAATTTAAACCACATTATTACTAATCCATTATAAAATTTAGTCTACTCTCCCACTTTGATATTGTAGATAATATAATTTGTTAAAAAAAAAAAAGTGCTTGAAACCAATAGTGAAGGCAGTGCCCTATATGATACACATGACACCAAAGTAAATAGCTCTCACATTTATTGGCAGAAGTTCTGGAGAAAATTTCACTCGGAGGAATGATTACGTACCTTGTTTAATTGCAATTTTTTTTTAAAAACACCACTATGCTTAATAGAAACTCAAACTATATATAATTGTAAATTAACATATGCTGTGAGCTAGTGATGTCGAAACAGTTTTATTCTCTCTTAAATTTTTCCACAAGAAGAAGGCGCACATATATAAATTCAATATTCCTAAACAATAAAGTAGGAAAAGGTGGGAGCATAGAGAAGGGGAAGTAAGGGAAGTCAGAGATAAAGAGAGACTTGTCTGACCATATGCACCAATCTACAATACACAAGCATTAAAGAAAGTATATATGTACATATCTGACATTTTTATATGATCCTCGTGTGAAGTCCTTTCAATAAGCTATGTATCTTAACCCAAAAAAGAGAGAAAGATCTTTGCAAGAAACGAATTAAACTGGCTGCAAAAAAAAAAAAAAAAACGAATTAAACTGAGTTAACTTGGAGTTTCCAGCCACATCTTTCGAGAAATTTCTACTTGTATCTAGGCATTACCTCAGAGAAAGAGCAAGTGAAAACGAAAAAAACAATACATGGAAAAAAATGGAAAAAAGCACAGCAGTTGTTTTTGCATAAAAACTGACTCAATCAGAACAATTTCCCACAGACGACTGATCTAATTAGTCAAATCAAAGCGATAAATAGATAAGAAGCCAGAATTAATTCATGAAAACACGGGTCTTTTTAGTCAGCATAGCAGTGGCTACCAACAACCACATGATAAATTAACTAAAACCCTAATTTGACAACATCCAAAATTAAATACCGCATAAATTTTAAAAGCATCAAGAAAATAAATAAGATAATACCGGCCCTCATAACTTCCGTTGATGATGATGTTAACAGCTAGCTTTGGCTTATTGTTGACTGGGATGATGGAGATGATGGCCTGGCGGCGGCAGAGGCGGTGGAGGCAACTGTTGAGGCAGCGGCGGTCTCTTCCGCTTCTTCTTCTCATAGCTGATGCCTCTTGCTTTGGACTGCAAATCACGAACCTCACGAAGGTAGAGCCTCACGGCTCGAGCACCGAAGGGGTTGGCTTCAGGCTTGCCTCCGTTTTCTTCGAAGGCGGCACGGAGGCGGCCGATGAGGGCGTCCAGGCTGCCCCATGCCTGGCGAAGCGGGCAGGGGCAGGGAGCTGGCGGATTTGGATGGCCGTAAAAGGGGCAGATTGGGGTGTGGACTTTGGTCTTGCCGAACTGGTCAAGGTACCGGAGGAATTCGAGAACGTGGGCCCCGCTGCACCGAGAGAGAGAGAGCGGAGGGCGATGGTTCTTGAGGTATTGTCCGAAGGTGTTCCAGTCACGCCGCTTTTGGTTCTCATAGCGGCTGCTGGAACCAGGAGATGATGAGGAAGGAGAAGATGAGCTTCCAGAAGCCGCTGCGAGAGAAGTAGTAGGAGTACTAGCAGCAGTGCTGTTCATCAGTGTGGATGTGTTGATAATTAGGTTATGGCTTGATGCTATGGTGATCTCATGATGGTGAGAGCCAGAACTTCCATCCATATCTTGGATTGAATCCATGGAATTAGGGTTTCTTCTGCTTTTGTTTTAAGTAGTCTTGATTTCTAGGGTTTCTTCTAGAGGGAGAGGGAGAGAGAGAGAGTTAAAGTTTTATATTGTTTTCTAACTAGGAAACCTTAGTGAGAAACCACACACTGATGAAGAAGGGGAAATAAAAGAAGACAAAAGGTTTGGTAATTGATTGATATTACAGAATTCCCAATTTCTGAAAAGAGATGGAGAGGGGGAGGGAGGGAGGAAGAGAGAGATGGAGAAGGGGAGGGAGCTGGAATTGGTGAAGCAAAAGAAGATTTTTGATGTGAAGAGGGAAGTGATGAGATTGATGGGAGAGTACAAGCAAGCAACTGAGATGACTACTGTTACTCTTGACTACTCTCTCTATCTCTCCCCTCCTGTGGTGTTTATGTTTGGTTTGATAGAGCAATATTACTACAGAGAAAAGATTGGAAGGTGATGGATGGATAATTGGATGCAGCTTTGAGCTTTGGTTTTCATAAAATGTTAAGGGACTGGCTTTTTCCTAAAAAGGGTGGAGTAAACTCAACTCGTAATAGTGGATGATTACAATTATTCTTCTCTCATTCTTCTTATGTGAGAGAGAGAGAGGAGTTGTGTTTTTTAGGGTTTTTTTTTTTTTTTTTTTTTGGTGAAAATGGAAAGGGATTGGACAGTAGATTGAACTGGAGACAGGAAAAAGTTCGTAGGGGGTAAAATTAAAGGAATAACATGATTTTGGTTCTTGACCCCTCTTGTATGTTGAATTGAATGACAGTTCATACGATGAAATGACCATCATGACCTTTGCAAATTAATTTTAAATCCATTTTTTATTTTTCTTGTCCTAAATTCAAAACTATAATTTCTGACACATGAATTTGGCCCCATCTCGCCTTTTAAACACTTGCAACAGTGGCCTATGTATGGAATCCGTCCCCGTGGGTTATGATTTTTTCCACAACCCTCACTGGGAATTTTCAAAAATGTACATGAAAAGTGATCTCTGCATTCCACTCTTTACCCTGAAAATGTGAATGTGAAAATAACTATGGCCTTACCTATTCTTTCCCTTCTTCCTATTAAAACTCTCTCGTTCCTCATCTCTTTATCTCATCTTCCTCTAGCCTTTCCCTTCTTGAGTCTTTGAACCAAATGTAAAATGTGCATTTGAAGGTATTAAATTGCTCTTACTTCTTTAAGATGCCTATTGTATCCAGTGTACAATACTTCCTTCATTAAGAAGTCGTTCGGAATGAAAGTCCTTACAATATCTTAATGACACCACATTTGCATCTTAGCTATTTTCTTGTACGATTTTCTACATCAATTAATATAGTACATAAGAAAAAAATATGTTAGATCCCACATCGTCCAAGGGAGTGGATCCTTTATGCCTTATATGTACATGCTCACCTCCTATAGCACAAGGGCTTTTGGAAACTCACTAGCTTCGGATTCCATTGGAACTCCAAAGTTAAGCGAGTTTGGACGAGAGCATTCCTAGGATGTGTGACCCTACTGGAACTTCTCGTGTGAGTTCCCAGAAACAAAACCATGAGGGGGTGGCCGGGGTCCAAAGCGGACAATATCGTGCCTCGAAGGAGTCGAGCCCGGAATGTGGTGGAGCCCTGGTCGGGATGTGATAGTTTGGTATCAGAGCCAATCCATAGCTGGAAGTATGACAACGAGGACGTCGGGCCCTTAAGAGGGGTGGATTGTTAGATTCCACATTGCCCAGAGGAGTGGATCCTTTATGCCTTATATGTACATGCTCACCTCCTATAGCATGAGGCCTTTTGACAACTCACTAGCTTCGAATTCCATCGAAACTCCGAAGTTAAGCCAGTTTGGACGAGAGCATTCCTAGGATGGGTGACCCCACTGGGAAGTTCTCGTGTGAGTTCCCAGAAACAAAACAGTGAGGGCGTGGCCGGGGCCCAAAGCGGACAATATCGTGCTATGGCGGAGTCGAGCCAAGAATGTGGTGAAGCCTAGGTCGGGATGTGACAAAATAGTTCTCAGCATCAGTTCACTTTAGATACACATAATAAGAATATATATGTTTGATTGACCTCCCGTATATTTGTGCAAAACAGTACATATGTAGACGTATTTTCAAGTATATATCTTTCTATAACCAAAAATAGTGCATTACAAACAACCAGTAGGGTTTTCCTAGAACTTGACTTAAAATATATAAGTGAAGAAAATGTGGGTCTACGTATGTATGTAATTACATAAAACATCTATATATATATGCACATTAATTTTTTTCATTCCTCTTTGTTTCCCATTGTTATCCTAAATTCAGAAATTTATTGAAATGTCCTATATCTTTCACGTCCATGTGATCATAAACTAGGGTCGAATAATAAATTGAAAATGTCACGCCCTACAGTTCAAAACATGCATTGCAACTGCTACTCTAGTACTATCAAATATTGTTGGATTTTGTTTCTTAATTTTGTTAGCACTGGAGTAGCAGTTGCAATGCATGTTCTGAACTGTCGGAGAGATGCTTCCATAAGCGGAAAGTCCCGTGAATCACCCATGATGTTTTTGTGCAGAAATTCCTCCATAATCTTGTGGAGACTAGTATCGCTCTATTTCAGGCTTTCAGCATTGTTTTCTGTTCACTGGAAGTATATAAGAAAATAGCATTGCAAAATAATAGCTTGCTTAGTAAAGATGTGGATCAAATTTATAGGTTTGGGAACCTACACATTACCAAAATAATAGCTTGTTTTGTAAGCTGAGGCCGAAAGAGGGATGAAGAATAGTGAATGAAAAATAGCATGAGATATGTGAAATAATGAAACACTATATTTAGATGAGGAAAATAAATTTAGAATTTTGACAAAGGTTAGAATTTAAAAATTGACATGCACAAATTCTTTTATTTGAATTCATAAATATATAAATTTAGAATTTTCTTGTAGAAAAAAAAACTTGGAATTTGGAACCTCATATTCCCAAGTTTAAATTCCATGTGGATAGGTGTTATTTTTAATTTTCTATTAGTGAGAGTTTAAAAATAACAAATTTCATTATTCTTTTAGGTTAACTAAACAAGAAATTTCACAAATTTTAGAAAATAAAATTCTATCATTTCAATTTTCTTCATTCTAAAATTCCCTTATAATCTTAACTTTCCTCCAAACAAAGTGTAAGGGGTAACATACAAAATGAAAACTGAAAATTGGAAATAAAAAACTATTTAAAGTAATTTTCATTTTTTAAAATTTTGTTTTCATGCATTCATTTTTCTTTATTTCTCCCCCTCTTCACGTTGCCCTTCTTTACCTCTAATTTCTCTCATCTACTTTTCTCACATCTCAAGCACAAAAAATAAAAATAAAATAGTTATCAAATGATCCTAAGTTATAAGCTAGCATTAATTTGTTACCCCTAGGGTTCTGTAGGCATCCTTTTTTGAGTTCTAAATCTAATTTAAAGTAGGGGTGTGATATCCACACACCCCTTTTTACTTCTCCCACATCTTTTTAGTTTTCAGCTGTCAGATCAGATGAATTGAAGAAGATTAACAGACATAAATTAACAAGGAGTGTATGAAAAGTAAAATGGGTGTGTGGATAGCACATCCCTTTCAAGTATAGTTTTGCATGCATGCTTTTCTATATATGATATATAATACAACAATTCATTTTATATGACTTGGTAATGCTTATATGGAAAAGTTTTGAATCCTTCCGGTTAACATTTTGTGATTCATTTCTTAGTAGCTTAACTACCCGTAGGGCTTTGAATATATTCTCCCACATAAACACAGTAAGGAACTGGAATGCTAGGGAGACTGAATTTATAGACTAAATTTTGTAAACTAAATGATATAGAAGTTGGTGATTAGATTATTACTTAAATGTTGATAAACGTTCTTATTTCTTATTAATGACATTTTATTTAGTTTGTAAATTTAGTTTATAAGTTTAATCTCCCTAATATTACTCGATATTAAATACTAATTAATTTGTAGAGCTCACTTGCACCCTCTAAAAAGTTACGCTAAGCATTGCGTTCTGCTTTTCGATATATAGAAAATCAACTTCATTCATTGTATAACCGTAGGCTTTGTCTCTCCCCTGCGTCTGGATATATGATTTATGAAGAAGACACGTGAAGAAAGAAGAATAGGTTTTATTTTTTAAATTAACTGGTCCATTATTGTTGATAATGACTTTCTTAATCGAGGTTCTGATCAATTTTATATAATTATACAGGAATATGATCATACCTCCTTTCTAGAGAGAAAAGTTTTAGTGTCGGGAAACGGTCGGGTACACCAAATATTATAATACAAGTAGTTGAATTTTTTTTGAGTAGCCAACCACTTATATGAAATGTTCCCCGCACATTAAAAAATTTATCATTTCTAGAAGATAGGTAACACCATTCCACCAATAGCAGCAAGGGCACGCGATAGTGATTTTGATTTACAATAGTTTGTAAAATTCTTTAGATATATCTTATGAAATTTATCGTGAAATTGACATTAATCAACGGGTAAAAAATATAGAGTATGCACCATTAGGTGTCGTTCAAATAACATTATCATAAAATTATTTGAGAGATCGCTAACTATAATACAACAACAACAACAACAAAGCCTTTTCCCACTAAGTGGGGTCGGCTATATGAATCCTAGAACGCCATTGCGCTCGGTTTTGTGTCATGTCCTCCGTTAGATCCAAGTACTCTAAGTCTTTTCTTAGAGTCTCTTCCAAAGTTTTCCTAGGTCTTCCTCTACCCCTTCGGCCCTGAACCTCTGTCCCGTAGTCACATCTTCGAACCGGAGCGTCAGTCGGCCTTCTTTGCACATGTCCAAATCACCGGAGCCGATTTTCTCTCATCTTTCCTACAATTTCGGCTACTCCTACTTTACCTCGGATATCCTCATTCCCAATCTTATCCTTTCTCGTGTGCCCACACATCCCACGAAGCATCCTCATCTCCGCTACACCCATTTTGTGTACGTGTTGATGCTTCACCGCCCAACATTCTGTGTCATACAACATCGCTGGCCTTATTGCCGTCCTATAAAATTTTCCCTTGAGCTTCAGTGGCCTACGACGGTCACACAACACGCCGGATGCACTCTTACACTTCATCCATCCAGCTTGTATTCTATGGTTGAGATCTCCATCTAATTCTCCGTTCTCTTGCAAGATAGATCCTAGGTAGCGAAAACGGTCGCTTTTTGTGATCTTCGCTAGATTGCTCCGGTCATTAGTGTGGATAAGTATATAAATGGATAGAGATAGGAAAGCAAACACAAGATGTACGTGGTTCACCCAGATTGGCTACGTCCACGGAATAGAAGAGTTTTCATTAATTGTGAAGGGTTTACACAAGTACATAGGTTCAAGCTCTCCTTTAGTGAGTACAAGTGAATGATTTAGTACAAATGACATTAGGAAATATTGTGGGAGAATGATCTCGTAATCACGAAACTTCTAAGTATCGGAGTGTGGTGTCGTCTTGACTTGCCTTTTCTGTCTCATAGGTAGATGTGGCATCTTCTCTGGAAGTACTCTTCCTCCATCCAGGGTGGTATCTTTAACTGGTGGAGATGCACAAGGTAATGTATCAATTTCACTTGAAGCTT